ATAGTGTACAACATATACTATCATATATTATATATTACATAATATATGCCACACATAGTATACAACATATACTATCATATATTATATATTACATAATATATGTCACACATAGTGTACAATGTACAACATATACTATCATACATTATGATCAGTAGAGGAACGGGTAATTCTGAGCCCGGAGATAGCACTTATTAGAAGAGCCTTTGAATATCATTGATTTAAAGAAAGAATTGTTAGCTTGAGAATTTGCTCAGCTTGCTTTGGTCATAGTATCCTGTTTATCAAATGGTAGAACTCATATTTGCTTATTCTTCCTAACATTTTATTTTCCTTTCATTGATTATTAACTATTTTTGTTTAGTTTGCTTACCCTGCTAAAGTCTTTGAAAAGTGAGTGTATTTTAGAGACACTATTCGTGTTACTATGGAAAATTGATCTTAGACTTTTGTTAAATCATTTTTTCATTATCTGCTTTGAACTTTTCCCTTCTAAGCTTTCTGGTATAGACTGAGGGGCTAGCTGCTGCTTATTTAACTAAATAGATCTGCCAATTATTAGCTAATGGCATGTCATGTGACTCCAACTTAAAACACTATCGTGCAAAGCTTTTCTTTGCTACTATTTACTTAGGCCTCAGAATCTATTATTTAATTAATTAATTTTCTTATTTACCCAGCAAATGCAGCCCAGTACAATTAAATACACAAAGGTCCAAGACTTTGCTTGAATATTTATTATTGATTGTATTAGTGAATTTCTTAAAAAAAAAACCTATAACATCTTTCTAGTTTTCAAGTACAGCCCTTTTTATTGCTAGATGTAGGAGTTCATGCATGTATTTCACAAAGTCCAGTCATGTGTGTGTATGCATGCGTGAGTGTTTATGTGTGTGTCTGTGTGTATATATGTGTGTGTGTGTAGATACACAACAGGCAACTCATTCCTGGAATGTGGTCACAGTCCAATTCATCAACCACAAGGCTGGTTCCTGGGTGAGTCTGTGATGCCCATAAGTCACCCAGTGTGATTCAGTGTGGTGGTTACATCCCTGTTAATTGAGTGTTTACATGATAGGAGAGGAAGAGTAAAAGCTGATGAGGAAAGAGGTGCTCCTGGAGTCAGTCATGGAAGTTACTGCCAGGTATTCAAGAAGGTCAGCATCAAGATCACCAATGTAGTAATCAGGCAATGTTTATGTTCTGAACCTAACAACCAAAATACTTGGATAAACTATTTTACCCAGTCCATGTGACGGCAAGCTCAGTCATGATTGATCATGCCCAGTGGGGTTTATATCTCTGTAAATGGGCAGTCTATTGATTTTTTTTCAAAAGAGAAAATAGGTGAACACATTAATTTATTTTTTGCACTATATTTCCTTTTAGGGATTTTTTATCCCCTTCCTTCCAAAAATGTGGAGTGAGTCAGAGTGTTATTCTGTTTTGCTCTGGTAAATTCTATCTCATTATAGAGGTGGTTTTCAGTGTGGTGACAGTTGGTTGTGATTTCTTTTTAACCACTTACTCCTTCATAATTCTTTACTACGGCTGAGATAAATAACCAAGCCTAGTGCCAGCAGGATTGAGAGCCAAAGGTGTTCAGTTAATTAGAATGTACATGCTATGTGGAGCTCCTGAGTCAGCCTGGGGCAAAGTGGACACTCGGTGCTGTGTTATGGTGCAGAAATGTGTCTAGGTGGGATATCTAGGTGAGAGACACTTAAGCAACAGTGATGGCTTGCAGTGTGCTGTGGCTAGCCTCCAAGCAATGCTTGGGACTCAAACAGAAATGGAGAATGTGCAGTCTGTACTTTTTCCTGAGGCAGTCATTTTCTATAATGCGCAGGTTTTCTTTTTTCTTTCCTCCCTCCCTCCCTCCCTCCCTCCCTCCCTCCCTCCCGCCTCCTTTCTTTCATTCTCTCTTTCTTTCTTTCTTTCTTTCTTTCTTTCTTTCTTTCTTTCTTTCTTTCTTTCTTTCTTTCTTTTTCTTTCAAGTATATAAAGTCATGAATCCCTCCTGGCACTTGCATACACATGCCCTTTTGCTTTGTTTTCCTTCACCCCCTCCACCAAAGCTTAGCATTTCTAGGTTATTGTTGCCTACCCCAGATGCCCATGAAATCTTTTAATACGTAGTTGTGGCATTTCTGAATAAAGCGGCTTCAACAAATGATCCACAGGGCCACCACTTGTCAGAAAAGTGTCAATGGTCTTGAAAAACCATATCTATGGGGAGGAGTGTCTAGTACAGATTCCACAGGTGGCAGTTTCTGTAATGCCTCATCTCATGGAGCAGGAGCTGTGGTCTCAATTCTGCTGTGGCTGGGTTAATTCAGGCAACTCATTTGTGGAGCCCATTTTTGGTGGTCTTCCTAGGAGAACACTGGCCAATTTAACCAGAGGCCTTTGCTTGTAACCCAATCTAAAGTACCTCCACTCACTTCTGTTCTTTCATCTTTACTGTTTTTCTCTCAGATCAACTGTACAGCTGGGAATGTTATAAATGCTTATGTCCTCCTTCCCCCAAGTTCAAAGAGTATAATATAACTCATCATGTCCTCAATAAACATTCATTAAGGAAGTAAGCAGATAAGTGAATACACATTTTGAGCAGAGAGCAACAAATTTCTATGTACTTTGAGATTGGATTCTGACTCTCTAAGGACAGATTTTTTTTACTTTAATTAATTAATTAATTAATTAATTAATTAATTAATTTTGTAACTTGCTAGTAAATGTCATTGAGTTCCAGGATAGAAAACGAAGTGGTCATTAGTCAACTAGATGCAGGAATGTCCTTTTTCCCTTTGGGACAAGTAAGGCTGAGGTGATGGCTGATGCACATCAGGGGATATAGGGAGCTCACGACTTTCCTATTCGGTTCCCTTTCCCACTTCGCACTTTCCTTGCGATTATTACGGCAGCATTTCACACACCTGCTGCTGTAGGGCTAGAGAGGACAGAATCAGCCCCCAATGCTTCGCCCAAGCTCCCGCCTCGGCCACGCGCGCAGCGTCCCCGTCGCGCGGTCACCTGAGTGGCCAGTGCCCCGCAGCGTCGCGCCCGCGCACGAGTGGCCGGCACCTTCTGAGCTAGCGGTACAGAGCACAGACATCCCTGCCTTACGCTACTCCGGGACACAGGTGGGACCCTCTTCCAGTCCTCAACCCCTGGCGTGGGGCCACCCAAGGCGGCGCAGCACGCAGGGCGTTTGGGACCTGGCGGCAGACTGGGGCGGTACCTGTGGAGGGCCAAGCAACTTCTCCAGGCCTCCTGCTACTTTGGAAACTGCCTGGGGCTGCGACATCAACCCCTTAAGTCCCGGAGGCGGAAAGAGGGTGGGTTGGTTTGAAAGACACAAGGAAAAAAAATGTGTTGTGGGGCGGGTTAAGTTTCCCACCCTCTTTCTCCTTCCCGAGCAAATTAAAAACAAAACAAATAGAAAAGCCAGCCCTCCAGCCAACCAAAGCCCCAAGCCGAGCCCTAGCCGGAGCACTCCTTTAAAAGGATTTGCAGCAGTGAGGAAAAAACCAGACCCGACCGAGGAATCGTTCCGCAAATCCAGGTATGTTGAGGCCATCTAAGACACTGGGTATCGGGGCGCGACGCTACTCGTGGACTCCTGCCTGCAGAGGAGTTCTTCGGAGGGGCCTGTGTGTATCCAGACAGTGACGCAAGCGCAGCGACAGCGCTCCGGACCTGGAGACATAGCACCTGAGTTCTGCTGTGGTTTCCGATTTATCTTCAGGAGTGTGTGCTTAGCCGAACCTCCATGGGTTTCTTCGTCTATCACATTTAGAGGGTTGTATTCATTTAATTTCTGAAAGCCTTTTAATAATACCTCAGGTGTAACCCATATTAAAAATGTAGACTTCTGTAATGGCCAGTCTTGCTAATTTCATGAAACTGAAAGACTCCATTGGTCTTGGGGTTGGTGTTTTTAATGTGCATTAACAGTCTATGTTTTCAGGATTTTCTAGTTAATAGTGGTAGAGAAATCATTGTATTTGTAAAGAACTTGGACATATATAGTTTATACAAGAATAGATCACCTGGCACTAAAGGAATCATGTTACCTTTAAGCCAATGTCTCCAGCATTGAAAAACTGAAAAGAAATAGGAAGAAAGAAGCACCTAAATTACATAAATAACTTGTGGCTTTAACATAGTACTTTTTTGTATTGTATATTTGGAAGGAAAAAAAATGTAGAAAGCCAAAAATTGTAGCTTTCTCATCAATTACTGTGCAGCACTCGTGGCTTTTTAGCATAAAGTTGTGTACAGAATGTTTAAAAAGTGGTTTTCCAGACCACTTCAGAGTGTCTCTGAAATGAATCTCAATAACAGAGAAGACAACTTCAGTGATACGTTTTATAATCTTGGAATGAATCCCAGAAAATAGCAGAGGTTAACTAAACAGATCAACCAGAAATTAGGAACACACACACACACACACACACATACACACACACAAACACACACACACACACAGTTGTACTATAATGTGGCAGTGTACTTTTTACTTCATTTTTGAAAAACAGAACACCTTGATTCACATGTGCGGCACAGAACGAGACAGTAGATTTTTTCACCACATACAATATTTTACTGTTAGCATTTTAAAAATTATTTGGGATTTAGACACTGCCAGTTAGGCTAGGCGTAGAAGCATTTCTAGCTATTTTTGTTGGCTATGGTCTAAAATGAAATAATGTCTTACCACCCACAAAATGCTTTGTGTGCAATCTGTGAGAGTAAAATGAGTTTGAAGTACTCCTTTATGAACCCATTTTTATTTATTTTCAGTTCTTTCTCTGTCTTTTGGCTGGAAGGGGGGCAACCAGCCTTTCGTTTGTCCTCCTCATAGAACTTCCTGAAGCAGAGGGTCGTCTCCTTTGAAATTCGAGCAGAGTGAAGTGGATTTCATGCTGATTAGCCAGGGAGTCTTAGAGCTCAGATACCCTGCTGGTACTTGCTTGAAAAACAACGGGAACACTGCAGGCATCTGCTGCTTAGACCCAGGCCAGCTCATTCACAGCTCAGGGCGCTGTGGAGCTTGGCAGGGACCCTTTCCTCTTTTGTAACGTGGGGTTTTACTCTCCTATGAATTTATCGAGGAAAAACAGTCATTGCTTCACACTTAGATCACTAATATAGGACCAAATGGTTTGTGTTTGTGAAGTGGGAGGTCTTGGAAATAAGATAAAAAAAGCCAAAATAAATGAATTCTTTTGGCAGATACTGTATTGCATTTTTTTATCCTTAGAGGCAAACACTCATACTAAAAAATATGTCCTGTGGAGTTAAAAATGGAGAAAAAGCTTATGCTCAGTTCAAATTCTTAAGATTTTATGTGATTTACAAATTCCATTTTTAATTAAATTAGAAAAGTGCAAATGTTCAACTACTGGCCAGACTTTGTACATACATGCTTTCGGGAGTTTCTATTTAGATTTGATCTTTTATAGTTTAGACTATTCCTTCTGAAGTATACTCACCCACCCCTCAACCCCCCAAACTGACAATATCTAGCTCAGGCTGACCTCAGACTCACTTAGTTGTTGAGGATGACCTTGGATTTCTCATGCCTCTGCTGCCTGGGTGCCGGGATTACAGGTGTGTGGGGTGCTGGGAATCAAACCCAGGGCTTCCTAGATAAGCACTCTACCGAGTGAGTGACACCTGCAGCTCTTTTAAGTGATTTTGCAGATGCAATAGTGATACTATTTGTTGTCTTTTCATACCTGTGATCTTAGTCTTTAACTATTTTTAACATTTGAACCCTGACAACTATAGGGAGAAATTTGTAAAATGATTGTATTGGCTGGTAAGCTATATAGCAAATCATTGCAATGGGCAATTATAAGACAAATGCTTTTTTACTCATTATTTAAGAACGATAACCTGAGAATGCACACACTTTTTACTTGCTTCTTCCTTACCACAAACCTTGTTTTGCCCATTATAAAAGAAAAAAAAATTACATGAATGTTGAATGTATCTTTTTGTAGATTATTTAGGCTATATGTCTGTGATATTGTTATTTTCTTCTCTTTCATTCAAAGCAAAATATTATTAATGAGCTGGTTATATTCTCTGTGTTTTTACTTTTCTTTCTTAAATTCATTTCTATACAACTATAGTTTTGGTACTCTACCCAAGGTCTTCAAGGTCTAGGGAACTGTCAGGGCTCTCTCTGATGACATCAGCCTTGCCATTTGGTCTTAGTGTTCATTTCATTTCACCCACTGGCAGCCTTGTCCTGCTGTTCCATTCCTGATATCCAGTATAGTATGCTATGCTTCCCAGTTTTCTCTTTCCCAGGCTCTGCCCTTCTATCTGCTCTGGTGGTCCCCTCTTCGGAGTCTTTTGCGCTGTTCTCTTTCTCCTCTTGAAAATCCCATGTGATCTCTGTGTACTGAGGACTTAGACTGTGACAGTTCATGTCTTGGCTTCCTGTTCTGAGCCTCTTTTCCCCGCTTCCTGCTCAGCATTTCCTCTTGGCTGTCTAGTAGGCATTTCTATACATTCTATTTCAATGTGTTCCAAATAGAATCTTCATGGTACCAAGTCTGTTGTCCGTCTCATCTTCATCTTTCAAGTTAGTTAGGCCCTAGCCAGGTAGTCATCGTTGATCCTTTACATCCTATCATAGCTCATATAACTCTACATATGTGTAGAAAAATCTTTGCATTATTTTTTAAAATAAACCAGAACACAACTTCTTCTTTTACTCAGTGGCCATTACAGACTGCCCTTATCTTTGTATTATTCCAAGGGCCCATTTATTAGTCTGTTTGTACCCTTAATTCTCTTTAGTCTATTCATTAAAAAGTTGAGAAAAAATTAAAAAAAAAATTCCTTTTAAAATACATGGTAGGGGGCAGGGCAGATGGCTCAGCAGTTAAGAGTGCTTGCTGCTCTTCCAGAGGAGTGTGGTTCAGTTTCTGTCACCCATATCAGGCAGCTCACAAACAACTAACTCTTAATTCTAGGGAACTCTAATTCCCACTTTTTGTCTCTGTGGGTATGCAGATGCATGTGCACAAAACATATACACTTATGAAGGAGTAATAAACTAAAAAATAAAAAAATAAAATTTTATGTGTATGGGTACTTTGTCTACCCATACTTGTGTAGGTGTACCATGTGTGACATGGAGGCCTGAAGAAGGTGACAGATTCACTACAACTGCAGTTACAAATGGTTGTGAGCTATCATGTGGGTTCTGGGAATCAAATCAGTCATGGGTTTTGTGGAAAAGCTAACCACTGAACCATCTCTATAGGCCCTAAAATAAAAGAATCCTAGTAAAACATACACATTAGATCATAACTCTTTTCTGCTCCAACTACTCTGGTGACTTTCCAGTTCTTGTATTGTCAAAGCCCAAACAAATCTTTGTCATAATAACAAGACCCCTATGGGCTCTCATCCTTCCTCTTCCTATCTCTTCCTCCTCTTCCTGGGCTTCTAGCTTTCCCGAGTATATCAGCAACCATCTTTGTACTTTAGCTTCCTCTACTTGGGGCACTTGTCTCCGGGATGTCTATGTGGTTTGCTCTGTTACACACATTTCCCTTATGTCTTTGTTCAAATGTCTCTAGGCAAGAGTTGAACTTGCCTGGCTTCTTACTTTGCAAGTATATATTCCCTGTATTTTTTCCTTTGCTTTTTTCTCCATAGCATCTATTCACGGTCTAAAATGCTGTGTGTATGCTTCTCAGTTTCATTACCACTAGAGTGAGAACTTTACAAGGGCAGAAGTTTTAATTTCGAGTGTGTGTTTCATTCAGTCTTAACTCTAGAACTTAGGAGTAGTATGTCAGAATTGTTCAGGAGTTTTTCTTTTTTTTTGTTTGTTTGTTTTTTCCTATGGACTTGACTGTTCTGACTAGCTATTTTCATTGACAGAAATTCAGTAGCTCTTAACCTTCCTAACCCTGCAACTCTTTAATACAGTTTCTCCTGTCGTGGTGACTCCCTAACCATAAAGCTATTTTGTTGCTACATTCATAAATTTAGTTATTTTGTACTGTTATGAATCCGATACACAGGATATCTGGTATGTGACACTCTCTTCCCAAGGGGTCATGACCCATAGGTTGAGAACCATTGTGATAGATGAAGGTATTAGTTAGTTTTGAGATTATATGTTCAAATATATGACAGATATAACTTAAGGTAGGGAAATCCTAGTTTAGGTCAAGGTTTCAGAGGATTCAGGCCTTAGTTGCTTGTTTCAGTGTGCTGCAGCAGACTAGCATGGAGGTAGGAGAGTATGGAGGAAGACATCTGTTCACATCACAGCAGTCCGGAAGCAGCTAAGATAATATACCCCATAGGACCCAGTCCTCCTTGAGTTAGATGACCCCCACACCCCAATCTTTCAGAACTTCCTGTTCTGTGGAGGTGTGGAGCAAGGGTTCAAATAAGTCTCTTGAGATTCAAATTGTAAGAACGACTAGAATACATTTACAACGTTGAATCTCAATATACTTAGTTTTTTCCTTTCACAACCCCACACATCTCCCTGCCCACACCTTGTTCCCTTCCATACTGTTG